GCTCCCGCCTCCTCCCCGCCCCCCCCTCACCCGCGAAGACGCACTGCCCTCCGCACCTCCACTGCAGCACCTTGCACGCCATGCACACCATCTTGGCGGACAGCCGCTTGCACGACCCTGCCGCTCGTCATGCCGCCTCAAGCCGACGCAGCAAGGACAGCAGCACCCGGAGCCAGCTGCTTGGACGCCAGCGTCGGCCTCCCTCGCTTCTTGCTCTCGGGCTTGGCCGCCGCCGCGGGCTCCTCCGCCCTCGCCTCCGCCTTCCACAGCATGCAGAGCTTGTCGGAGTAGACGAGGCGCGGGGCCCTGCGGGTGGGATGGTCGTGGGTGAGGCTGAGCTCGGTCCTGAGGGCCTGCCTGCAGGCCTCACGCCTGGCAGCGAGACGGGCCCGCAGCAAGAGGAGCTCGACGCGCACCTTGAGCATGAGCGAGCCGACGACGCGACGGCCGAGGAGGCGGAGGAAGACTTGAGTGTTGAGCCTGTCCCAGAAGAGCCTCGAGCCATCCTCACCTGAGCACCACAAGGTCATCGCCGTCGACATGACAGTCATACGGAAGGTGAAATGAAGAAGAAGAGGTTGAAATATTCCCCTCCTGGTATTCTATTTCTCTTCTTCTTCTTCTTCTTCTTGGTCTTGCTTTCTTTCTATCTCACTTGCCTGTCCCTTCTCTGTCCCCCTGGTCTCGTCCCCTCTCCTCTTACCTTCCTCCAGCAGCATGTAGCTCTCCTCCCCTCTTGCCTCTACCCGCCCGGCCCTCAGCTCCTCCTCCCAGAATACCCGCAGACCCTGCTCAGCCCGTCAGAGCATACCACGGCAGCGACACGGCAGGACCTCTCCCAGGCCCTCGCACTTGAGGACGTGATCCAAGCTCAGCACCTCCAGCTCAGTCAGCGACCTGGTCAGAGCCCAGCAGACTGACCGGAGCGAGCTCGGGGGGGGTGTTGGAGGGGCTAGCAGGCATGCGGAGGCGCTGCAGGGGGCAGGAGGGCAAGCGTCAGTCAGAGAGAGGAGGAGAACAAGTCAGGGGAGGGCGGGGAAGACTCGTCGCTTTCTCTTGCTTCCTCCTCTTCTTGCCCTCTCCTTCTTTGCTTCTCGTCAGCTCGTGGCTGTCTGTCTGTCTGTCTGTCTTGCTGCTGGGACTTCTTGTAACTTCTCTCACTGCCCCGGTGAGCGAACACATCGAATTGAGCAAGACGAGGCGAGAACAAGGATATTCGCAAGCATCTCTTCCATCAGCTGCTCGGAATCTTACCTCTTCGCTCAGGAAACTATATCACCACCCCTCCACATGCCTGCTCACGTGTCTCGACTGTCTTAGCGTCGCATTATCATCGCTACGAGTCGTTTCGATCGAAGAGGACGAGATCCAATCAAGTGTCACTCAATCTCCCTCCCGCCGTTTCTGCTCTCCTGCTCGCCTCCTCCAACTTCTTCCGCTCCTCTTCTGCTTGTGTCAGGCTTCTCCTCCTCCCTCCTCTCGCAGCGCCTCGCATGCCCATCGCCTACCATTCCCATTGCTCTATCTTGCATGCGGCCACGCCATTGTGGGGAAGGTCATGGACCCTACAGCACCATTTGACCCCGGACCTCTCTGCTAAGAGGGGGTGAGGTGGTCACCGGGTAGGGTAGTGGGGAGGAGGGCTTGACTCTTGATGGATCGCGAAAGGGCATCGGTGATGGTTCAGAGTCTCTGGGGTAGGGGTACTACAGAAATATGGGTGGGGTGTATTCAGAACTTATGAAATGGCTGCCAGTCAATCATACTGAAAAAAGGGGTACCCATGTAGAATGAACCATTAGGGGTGGGTCCAAAAAGCGGGGTGAAAGGCAGGTTGACGTTTGGTACAGACACTGTGGGGGGTGATGTATGAAGATGGGTAGGGGTAGCATATTTGTATCAGATCTTCTTTTGAAATAGGGGTCATGGGGTATGAAAGAGGGGTCCGATAGTGGAGGGGGTACTACGAAGTGGCGTGTCTCTTGGGGGTGTATATAAACGTCGAGCGACAGGGCAAACGTCACCAGAAAGGGTGAGAATGCGCTGCACATGATGAGCATATTGTGAACATTCTTGCCTATTCTTTCACGTTTTGCCTTTGCATTGGTTTTTGATAATGTCTTTGATCAATATGAGCGTTGAATATAACACTAATCTTTAACATCAGATGATCTGCAAGCTCTTTGACCTCGAGGACTACGCCGGTACCTACCGCGAGACCCGCAACGCCTACCTCAAGGCCGCCAACCAGCTCAAGCTCGCCACTGGCCCCTACAAGGCTGCTCGCGATGCCTACGTCGCTGCCACCGCCACCTACACCAAGTCCCTCTACGAGTAAACTTGTTGTGGCCATCACGGTCCTCTGCAGACATGTGTCTGGATGCCGGCAGATTGCCAAACGTGTATTCAGATATTGTTCTGTTTGAGATGTTTCAATAAACACTATTGATCTTACAAAATGTGTGACTTGATGACTTGACGATGCTTTCACGATTTGGAACTGTTGGCTATCTCTTAGTGACATGTAAACAATGGTTCATTGTCCTCGTCGTCTGATGAGGAAATAGTGTTATGAAATTGTCACCGAGACAAACAAAGAGCTATCGAAGATGGTTATAACGGACTGCCTTGATGATGATGCTCGGGCAATCGTTATTCATTATCGACTCCTAGGTTGAGCCCTGGCCACGGGACCAAACCGTCACTCGGAACACACTGGCAGTGTACGGTATCTTGAACGAGTTTTCATGAGTGTACTTCGGAGCCATGATGGATGGAGTCACTGAGTGGAATCGACTGACTTGCGGCCTAACTTGTATGACAGGAGTCTGAGAACGGTTGAACGCCGGGTCCGACTCTCATGATTGCACCGTCGGCCACCGTGAACTTGTCGCCCCGGCCCGCGGCCGCACACAGCCGCAGTGCAGCTCAATCGCAAGCAGTCCGACGGTCTGACTCGCCTCAGTGACGGAGCACAAGTTTGTTAGACTTGTACTGTGCCAAAGTCACGCAGATATTAGTTAGTACATCGACCTTAGTTGTAACAAGACAGTTTTTTGCTCAAGACCAAGTTCAATGCACACGAAACCAGAATTGAGGAGCACATGAGAGATAGACTGTATGCTAGGATGTGAAACCCAAGCATCCAGACATGAGGGGGAGGATGGATCGTATGCCAGCCGTGCTAGTCAGATAGCGGCGCCGAGTTAACAAAAACTCTCCTGTAAACCAAGACGACTCACGTGTTTTCAAGGCGGCAATGTAGTGCAGAGACGAAGAGGAGGCCTTCCTAGCCGTCTTACTAAGGTCCCCTCATGTCTGGATGCTTGGGTTTCACATCGTTCAAGTTCCGTGTGCATTAAACTTGGTCTTGAGCAAAAACTGTCTTGTTACAACTAAGACGGTCGATGCGATATCTGCGTGACTTTGGCACAGCCTATAAGTCTAACAAACTTGTGTTCCGTCACTCAGGCTTGCCAGGCCCTCCTGGCAGGCTACCTTTTCACGTCACTGAGTCCGTCACGCTGCCAACCAGGCTATGACACCGTACGGTATAGCCTGCTGTACGCCGGGTACTCCGGCTGAGGCCGCCGACTCGGAGTCTCTCCGACTCGGAAACTTGCCTGCCAATACGCCGTGTCCGAACTTGGCCGGAGTGGAACTTCGGAAATCCGAGGCACGGTGACGGTGACCGTACCGTCGGCGTACGGGTAGTACCGTGCGCCCGGCAGGGCCGTCACCCGGGTCGGACCGGCACGGTGACTGTCACGTAGCACTCAGCGGCCGGGCCGGGCCGTACTACGGTACGGGCCGGGCCGCACGGTGCCGCGGACGAGTCTGCGGCACGCGGCCCGGCCGCTGAGCATCGGGGCCCGCGCTGCCGGCGGCCGGAGGGCGGAAGTCCTCGCTGAGATTGACGCACTGCACTGAGGCTGGTGATGACTATGCTGACAAGGGTGGTCACATTGCCGTCATGGCACCATGGTCCCGCTGACATATCCCAAGTAACAAGGTTGACTTTATGGTACTACAGCAGAGTCTTAAATGTTTTATTGAAGTCTCATAAAAGTGATACATCTGTAGGGGATGCCCTGATGATCTGTACCATATTTTACAATAACACAACAGCTATGTTTTGAAACCTACAAAACATGGTACCAAAGATATTCTTAACGGTACAAAATGTTTAAGTAACTCTTGAGTTATAAACTTTTAATGAAGGAGAAGGAAGTGATGTCAGCAATCGTACCCTACCCCTCTAAATACCACATGGTTGTACCAGATTAAAGTACCCCCCGTGGGAGGCTTTTACTTGCGCCATGACAGGCCACTGCAGTCCGTGCCAGAAGGGGAGTAAAGGATCGAATCGCTGCGAAATAGATAATCTAGATTATTCGTTTTTCCTTTACTACAGGGGCGGCTTTGTGACCGCCCTTTAGCTTGCATAAAATCCAAGGTTCCTTAGTCTGTTGCCCCTCACTCTCCGACTTGCTCTCCTCTCTTCTGTACCCTCATGTTTCCTGTAATGATGCTCTTGAAGAATTCTGCTTCTGGCAGAAGGCTTGTGGTTCACAAGGATTCAGCTCCACTCATGATGAGCTTTCACGCTCGTCGGATTTTTGCTTGGCTTCTCCGGCTGATTGTGCAACTCTCAACCTTCTTATGCAAAAAAGTACCAATCAAACACCATGTGAGTTGCATTGCGATCAAAAGAAGAAGTCCGTTGAGTCTCAGAAGGAGGAGTTGATGCGGTTGTACATGGACGCCAAGCACGCTGGGTTCGTTGTGGAGACCTGCCCTCCCGAGACAGCCACAGATGTCGCGCGACGACGTTTCCGAGAGATTGTTTCTACTGGAAAGCTCATGTCGAGTGCAAGGAGGAGTCAAAGATCGTCCATGCATGTTGAGAGGCGATTGCAATACGAAGTGTTCTCAAGGCAGTACTAAGCCTTTCGAAATTCCCTGTGTCTTGCTGTTTGTTTAGTTTGTTCATTTTTGTATATTATTTCAATAAAGTTGTACTTTTACTCTCATTTTGCTCTTATTCCTACCCTGTTGATGATCGCTCCACTTGTTTCTCGGATCATGCCTTGGCAATCTTCACTTGGTGGACAAGTCGCCCAGGGCGGCGACGCGCCCCGGCACTTGGTGGCAGTAGGTTGAGGAGGCTCGACCGTGTACGGTGAGGTGGCAAGGCTATGGCAAGGTGACATTCCGCGACTAGTAGTGTAACGGACCGATGATCATGCTCGGATCTGATCGCCGGGCAGCCTGCCACTGAAAGTTGAGGTTCGAGTACGGTCCATGCCGTCAGGCGATCAACATGGCATCTGCAACTACAGAGTCCCGGCCGCCGCTGCAATCCGATGATCCTGGCATTCGGATTACCCGAGCCGCAGCAGAGTGATGGATCGCATGCTAGCCTTGCCACTCAGATTGCGCCGAGTGAACATGTCTCAGAGTCTGGATGCTTGGGTTTCACAGGCGCCTTTCAATTCAGTCTTGTTTCTTTTCAAGTTTGCAAATTAAACCCGGTCTTGACTCACCTTGACAGTGAGCAAAACTTTCACCTGTCTTGCTGCAGCTGACCGGGTCATTGCCGGATCGTCCGACCGTTGAACATGATTTTTCAGTTCAACGTTTTGCAATCAATGACTTTGTCATGTCACACTCAGAGGCCAACAAACTCGTACTCTCTGTCACAGAGTACGGTACCAGACGACCGAGTCCGGCATGCCAACGGAGGCTGCAGTGCGGAACGCCGTCCGATCCGGCGACCGTACGACTTGACTCAGCGGCCGCCGGAGGCCCGCGAGTACGGTCCGCGCCGGCCGGGCAGGTGGAACAAGTTCACCTCAGAGTGATGATTATAGGAGTTTAATAGGGCAGAAACGAAGAGAAGGCGAAGAGAGAGGAGCGGGAGAGAGGTGTACACATAAAGCAAGGAGAGGAATCGGAGGAACAAGGGTCGAGCAGCGGTCGACCGTCAGGCGGTCAGAGCAGTCAAGGCAAGTGAGAAGCAGAGTCGGAGGAGAGGAAACAGCACAGAGACAAGAGCATAGAGACTAGTCGAACGATCTGGTCCAGCCCTGAGAGCATGAGAGCGATGGTTAGAAAAAGCTTCTGTTGTGCGCCGATCTTTCTGCTGTTTTCTGCATCTTGTGTGTCACCAGCAATCGCATGGTGATTTGCATTTGATTGTTTTTCGGTCACTTTGAACTCCCTCACAGGGCACAGACGAAAATGCAGATGCAGGGAGCAGCGGGAAAGAGTGCTGTACAAATCACCCCAGGTGATGTAGCCAACGACGCCCTTCCATGCTGTTCGCTGAACCGTCCTCCTCCAGCAACCTTGGACAAAGTGCGCGGGTCTCTGTGGGGACTGTACATCGGGGATGCGCTCGCCATGCCGACCCACTGGTACTACGATCAATCGCATCTTCGTAGGACGTACGGAGAGATCAAGGGGTACGTTCCTGCGCAGGACAAGCTTCCAGGCTCCATCATGTCGCTATCCAACACGGGAGGAGGAGGAAGGGGAGGGTTCTCCGGTAGCATCGTCGGCGACGTGATCCTCAAGGGGAAGAAGCAGTACTGGGAGCGAGGAGGCAACTGGTTCTACCACAGGGGTATGAAGGCTGGAGAAAACACCCTGGAGGGTATCATTACTCGGCTCATCACCAAGGTCATCTCCTCCAAGGGCTCCTTCGACGTCGACGAAATCTACTCGCGCTATGTCGACCTCATGACAACTCCCGACGCTCACAACGACACGTACGCTGGTACCGGCCACCGCATGTTCTTTGCCAACTTCGTCAAGGGAAAGAAGCCCAAGGACTGCCCTGACAACGACGGGCACAACACGGACGCGCTCGACGGGCTGGTCAACCTCCCTCCTGTCGTCTATCATGCCATGCTGGAAGGGCAGGAGTCGGCCAAGAGGGAAGCCATGCAGTGCGCGACGCTGTTCAGGAGGTCGGAGCCTCTCAAGAAGTACGCGCAAGTGACTTCCGCGCTGCTCGTGTCCCTGGTGGACGGGGCTGACCTCCGGGAGGCCCTCTCGCAGACGGGCAAGTCTGTCGGTGTGGACGTGAAGCGCATGGTTGAGAGGAGCGGGCAGGACCCGATGACTGCCTGCTACCTTGACAGCTCCTTCCCCTCCATGCTCCACTTCGCCTACAAGTATGCCGACTGTCCAGAGAAGGCGCTGCTGGCCAACAGCAACACGGGAGGAGAGAACGTAGCAAGAGGAGCTGTGCTGGGCGCTGTGCTGGGCGCTGCTCACGGAATGAAGGTGAGGCTGTGACGAGAGGGAGATGTTTGACTCGTCTGATGGGTTGGCAGGGCTTTCCCGACCACCTCGTGCGAGGTTTGCAGTCGCATGCTGAGATCAGGGAGGAGATCGAGAAGTACATCGAGGTCCTGGCGCGAAAATCCGGCATCGACCCTGAGACGTGCAGAGACAGCAGACTCTGAGATTAGCGCCTTTCATTTTTCCCTCGCAATCTTGCTGAAGTGATTGAAGAATTTCCTTCTACAAACAGTTACACAAAACATGATGTTTCTATTTCTTTCATCGCATGAACACACTCTTTCCTTATCTTTTCTTTGCCCCAAGCGTGCTGATATACAACACCTGATCGTGCTCATCAATTCAAGGCATCAACAACATTTCACATTACATTGTTCCCTCTGATGAACGCGTCTCCATACTTGTTCTTCAGCTGTCCATTGACATATTCCTCAGTCTGGCATATATAACATATTGTATCAGTCATGAAGTTTGAAGAGGAAATCGGGTGCACCTGCTCCATCGCAATGTTCATGTATCCATCCAGACAAGCAAGAACACCCTTGTAGTCAACTCCAGTGTTGAGCTTGACAACCACAGGACGACCAGTGACCTGCCAGAGACGATTGAGAAAGAAATAAAAATAACAACGTGAACATTCAATAGAGGTGACAACAAATTAGCTGAAAGAGGAGAGTAAGGGGCAAGGACGGGGTAGATACGTTCGATAAGGAAGACAACATGCAGGACAAGAGAAGGTCGAGGAGAATTAGGAGAAAGAGGAGGTGAACAGGAGCAACAAGTGTAGGAGCATAAACAAAGAAAGGAGGGGGGGGGTGAGAGAAATAAGAAGAGGATGACGAAAGAGGAGCAGCAGGAGAAGGAGCAAGAGCAGGAGCAGCATCAGGAGGGAGCAGCAGGAGGAGCAGTAGCAAGAGCAAGACGAGGATGAGGATGAACGGGGTGATGATGATGATGAGAAAGCGAATCAGCAGCAGCAGCCGCAGGAGGAAGAGGATGACGTGAGCACGAAGAAGAGGAGGAAGAGGAGGAGGAGGAAGAGGATGTGAGGATGTGAGGAAGAGGAGGATGTGAAGAGGATCAGGAGCAGGAGGAGGAGGAGCAGGACCTGGCTGAGGAACTCTGTTGGAGATCGCTTGGAGGGGCCGATAGCTGCCATGGCGCGGAGAGTGCGAGGTGAATGAGGGCGATGAAGCTTGGTGGAAGTCGGGACGAGGTGGGGACGAGGGTAAAGGTTGGGATGTGGGCACAATTTCGAACTTGGCGGTTGATGGGATGGCCG